AAGTGGATACCATACAAAAATCATTAACACTGAAACGAGTTTTAAAAAACACGTATCTTAATTTACTATATTCTTAACCCCCCTACATATTAGCAGCTTTGAGTTTTATAATGCTTTGCACACCTCCTGTTCTACTAACAAGAATAACTTTTAAAATGACCTTCATTGTATATTATGCAAATAATAATAAGCGTTTTAAAATTGTGTATGTTTTAAACACACCACATAAGTGTATTTTATTAAGTGTTTTGTTCGTGAATCTTAATAACCACATTACATTTCGTCATTTTAACGCTCTTACACCTGAACTTGTATGTGTTAAAACTATTGAAACTAAATTATAGGAAACTGAATATTTTTTGCGCCTCCAACGACTTAGCAATAAGTCCGAAGGCTCATAATTCTAAAAACTGGGTTTCAATATCTGTTGTGGGCACAGTACAGATAGTCCATTGGCTAGCTATGCGATTAACGAGAAACAAACAAATATTATTATTTATATAGCTTAAATTAAGAAATGTTCTGTTTAGATAGCAAGCATAAAAAGTAAAAAAAAACAGAGAAATTAAAAATGGTCTTTTTATTTCTCACTATTTACCTTTAGGCCGTTCTTCAGATGTTTTTTGGATTTGGATTTATTGTTGGGCCTACAATTGGTGGACTTTTATATGAGGTCAGTTACACTTACTGATTTTTATTAGTACATATTTAATTCTATATTCGAATATTTGTACAGTCTAATTACGTTTAAACAAATCCGATAAAACCCTAGTGTTTTCAAGAGGTAGACTTGTATTCCTTTGTTTTTGCACCCTGATGATGAAGACAGGTACACCTGTACTTTTATCGTGTTTTTTAAAATTATTACAACCTTTTATTTATCGTACATGTTTTTAATATCTTGTATGTATTTCAGTTTACAGAATACTGGTTAAAACAATTCAACGGTAAGTTTTCTAAAATTAGAGACGAATAAATATGAAATGTGCAGTTAACCCAATCCCTTGGAACACGACGTGTATGCAATATGATTGTCTAGTGGGCCGTTTACAGCCGTCTTTTGTTATTTCATATGTTATTTCAAAAAGGAAAATTGCTTTCCGTATATTTTTAAGCAAAGAAGATTGACTGCAGTGCATTGTTGGCAAAAATGTTTGGGTTTCGATCTTATAGGTGCGTCCATCACAATATAGCGCTCAGGTTCGCTAGGTAGCTGCGGGGACTTTTTCAGCTGGATGCCATTGTTCTATGTTATTTTACTGGGCGCAAGAAAAGACCGCTACCGAACTGAGCGCTTTTTGCCATTTCTATACAAAGTGTCAAAGAAGAGTTATTCAATTTTTCCACATGATACAATAAAATCATGCATGTATATAATACTGACATAAAAACAAGAAACAACAACAAATATATACCCAAACATGTTCCTCTCTTTATTGTTTTTTTTTTTTTCATTCATGCTCCTCTTTTCGGAATATTTCTTTCAATCAGTCGACGGAGGAAGTCCCCTTTTTTGTTTCGTGAAATTCCTTCACAAAAAGAAATATATTTATTCTTAATAAGTATTGTTTTCTCAGAGTGACTGTTCGGCACATACGAAAACTATGATATCGATATGATGTTTTAGGAATTGCAAAAAATGAATAATTTTCCCTGTAATGTAATCTTGAAAGGAACATTTTGGTGTACATTTTGTCTTCTACGATTAATCGTTCAGGAGATAAAGAGTGTGACAGACAGACATTTGGCTATTATAGATAGGGTTGTGTGCGATTTTTCTAGTATTAATTGTTTATAACCGTATCATTGAATGAAGATAAATTTACCTGAAATATGAAGTTACCAATTTCTACTCTCTTTCAGTGATTTTAGTTAATGATATTATGAATCTTTAAGATAATTTAGTTTGTAACTTCCACTAGATGGCAGGATATAAATTTCCTTTCTTCTTCAATGGTGGAAGTTTATTAGCTGGATCGTTAATCATGTATTTCCTACCGGATTACAGTAAGTTTATTTATCTCTCTCCCATTTCAAGTATTTTTTTTATCAAATTAGGCATTTGATGTATCTTTCTATTAAGTAATGAAATTAATAAGGTCTCTATTGAGAATAAACGCGAAGTATTGGTCATTTTTAACTTTTAATTGAA